CCCCGGGGGACCCCCAGCCTCCGCCGCCGCCGCCGCCTGACCATTTGTGTCAATCCCTCAAGTGCGCTCCCCCTCGCCTCTCTCCCTCCGACCGGTTTCCAGGCGCCCCGCTGTCTGCCGTTCGCCAGGAGGGAGGAGCCTTGAAACCGACGCCTGAGTGGCCTGCGGAAGGGAGCGTCTCTCAACATCTCACACTGCTTCCAGGCGCAGAAGGAGGTTGGGTCTCCCAAGCGTCTCTTTTCAGCCTGGCCGAGGCACAAAGGGAGCAGAGGCGGGGGCGAGAGGGGGGGGAGTGCTGTGAAGGAGGCCAGGCTTGATGGGTTGCCAGGAGGGAGGAGCCTTGAAACCGACGCCTGAGTGGCCTGCGGAAGGGAGCGTCTCTCAACATCTCACACTGCTTCCAGGCGCAGAAGGAGGTTGGGTCTCCCAAGCGTCTCTTTTCAGCCTGGCCGAGGCACAAAGGGAGCAGAGGCGGGGGCGAGAGGGGGGGGAGTGCTGTGAAGGAGGCCAGGCTTGATGGGTTTTGCTTTAAAAGAAAAAAGAGGAAGGCCTTGGAGGAGAATAGCCCCATATGCTGTGAGAGGATAATGAATAGAGCAGGGCAGACAATTGCTTTTCGTTTTTACGTTTAAAAATTCTGTAGTTCACGCTAATGAAAGAGGGCGAGTCAAGGCTAGGATCAGAACAGATGTTTCTAAGTTAGAAGTTTGGTGTCTGCAGTTTATTGTAAACTATGGAACAAATGTGTTTCCCTAAAACTTTAAAGATTGTAAGCTGATGCAAGAGATTCTTTGGATTCAAATATAACAGTGCTATATTCACATTTAAAGTCTTAATATGCTGTTCAAACTTTAAACTGGCACATTATGCTGGTGAAGTACATATGTAAAACTCTGTCTATTTGTAAAACAAATAAGGAAATAACTCTTCCTAGCACACGCAAACACCACACAAACATAAAACCACAATCCAGCCATTTTGTGTGGGGATGTCAAAAATTAAAAAAGGCTCAATTTCATCTCTGGTGTAACTTCATGGATGTCAGAGATTAATTTCTCACAGGGGTAGCCATGTTAGTTTGTAACTGTAAAAACAATGAGCAGTCCTGTGACACTTTAGAGACTAACAAATTGATTAGGTCATTAGAGATTAATTTGAGCACCGTCTTCAGAAATCGAAGAGAAAAACATCGACATGCAACACAGAAACTTTGCAATATGCTTTCAAACTATCCATTTGTTGTCTGACAGATCTGTCAAAGAGGAAGACTAGACCTTCCAAGTTTTGTTACAATGGACAATTGTGTTCTCCTTCTGCTCTGCTTGCCTGTTCTCTCCTTGTGAAAATTTGTGCATATTGTGATACCCTGAAAGGAATGGAACGAACACACACACACACACACACACACACACACACACACACACACACACACCCCTAAGACTGACATTGAGACCTTCTTGACAAGTTAGGATTATTGGAATGTTACAAATTGTTTTTTGGAAGTAAGTGATCTATTCCCCATAATCAAGACAGTACAAAAATTGAATTGATTAATAGGTTACGTTTTGGGTCCATCAGTCTGGACAGTGTCCCTTTAAAGAAAGGCAGCTCTGTTACTTCCAACTCCATTCAAAATACAGCAGGGACTTTGGAGAGTGGGAATCAATGGCCAAATAAATGGAAAGGGGCACAATCATAGGGGTGGGGAAGAATGGGGGGGGACGGGACACGAAAGCAATATAATAATTGTCAGGCTTCTAAAAGGCAATTGCAGAAAATGGAAAGTAAAGTAAATTAAAAACTGAAGCTGATAACTGACCCTCTTTGTAAGACTTGTGTCACCTTAATTTGTTTAGCAGAACGGGTTATTTTGGCACAAAAATGAGGAACAACCTTTTGAAATAAGGGTCCCTGTATATGCTGGTGATGTTCTGAAGACTGCAAAATAAAAATATGAATCTAAGGACATTATCATATCAACTTTGAGTTGCTTTTACATTGTAAGATAAATATATAAACTTTAATAACGTAAAATATAAAAGTAATAATTACAACATTTTTTCTTATTTTACATCAGTGCAAGATTAAATCCATTTTACTTACAAATAAATTTGGGGCCTCTTTTTTCAAAAATATATACTACTTCTGTAGATTGTGAATTTTGTTGAGTGAATGTACATTCAGTAATTACCAGGGACAGCCATTTCCTCCTATATGAATAAGCCACATGTGCTCACAGCCACTGGAACTCCTGTTAGTTTTCAAAATGCTTACTCAATTTATTAAGAGAAAAAAATGGTAAAAGCTGGATGGGAAAAGGTACTTTACTCACTGAAATTCAATATAAATAATAATAATAATAATAAACTAGATTCCTGTAATCTCAAAGGAATTTACAAACACGGAATACCTGCATCCTAAGGATACTTCTGCACTATGGAAATTCAAATTCCCCTGTTTGACCAACTATCCTGATGTCACACAAGCTGTAAAGAAATTTTTTTTTTTAAACCATTGCTACTGTGTGCCCAAGTCACATGGTGAATCCATGTGAGAGTCAGGAACAGAAGCCATGTTGTCCTGATTTCAAGTGCAGTGCGCTGACATGTTAGACTGCCATTTTTCTTGCCCTCATTTTTTAAGGCTCTGTAGAACAGTAATTATTCGTTTAACATGTGCCCGCTTAACACGTTTTTTGCAATAGCACGATTTTTTTTAGGGAACGTTTTTTGAATACCACAACTGTCCCCAAAATAACACGAAAATAACCAAGTGGCAGACTACTTCGCGCAGTGGTATAAGTTGGTGAAAACAGTGGTATGCATGAGCGGATGAATACACATGGTCACAGCGCACCTCCGCTCACTCACGTTTATCTTTGTGTTTTAATAAACCGCAGCAACTTGTGGTGCTAGTTATCTTATGTAGCTAGATATCTAATGTTGTCGCAGACGACCCAGCACCAACAAAAAATTGACTTTGACACCACCACCTGAAACGCAACCCCCACCTTTTCCAGTATTTTTAGTGGGAAAATTGACCCCGCATAGCACATTTTCGCTTAGCACGAACATTTTCAGAAACGCATCTATAGTGTTAAATGAGGAATTGCTGTATAATGTGCCATCTTCAATTTGTATTTTGAGGCATTTGGAAGGTGACAGAGTTCCACTTTTGGCTTTGTTTGCACTGTCTCAGGTGGCAAGTGTTAAAATAAGTCTTTATTAGGCAAATAAACTCTTCAATCTGTGTGTCACGTGGAGTTAATAGTATGGCGTATTTATCCCATTTACCTGCAATAATTTTACTGTATATTTTTAGAAATGTGCATCTGTCAGCTTGTCTGCCTTTGAGTTTGTTTGTTCAAGAATTTATCCTAAACAGTAAGAGCTAGAACCACCAAATTTGGTATTCAGCATCCTCTTGTCATAACTTTAAAGCAAGATCAGGATTTTGTTGTGCCAGAACAATGGGACGTGACTGGAATTTGATTATTTCTCATCAAATGAAAAGGGAGGAGACTGGTAGGAGAGAGTTATGTTGAATAATGATCATAGCAAAGGACCAGAGATGGGGATGGAGAGGTGCTTCTCACTTGTCCCTGAGATGCTACAGTGAGAGAGGGCTGGGGTTGTTCTCTCTCCCTGGAGCAGCTTGCATACTGAACCTTTCACTCAGAAGCCCACCACAGAACAATGATTTAAATGAAGAAAAACAAAAGCTATTACCATTAAGAACCCAGGCAACACTGGGTAAATCTTCTAGTTATAGATAAATCTTGGACTTAAATTGTAGGCCACTTCCTTCCTTTCTCACATTCAAAGTTATAGCAGTGCACACTATAGAATGACTGTCAGAAGAGCAGAGGCATGTTTAGAAATAGCAGAATATCACACAGCAGTTACCTGTGTCCATATCTAGAATAGTTCATCCAGGCCTATTAAAATCTCTCAAGAACTCTCTTCTCAATGTTGTCTTATTCAGTTATGTGCTGAAGTGCATAATTGATTTGAAACTTTAGATATGAAGAAATAATGTGTTTTATTATCCCAGAAATGCAAAGAAAAAATATAAATCAGTAATGTTTCAAAGGGCACCTATTTAATTGATTTTTGCATTTGAACTTACAGGAATTTATTTGGAAGATATAAACAAATCATAATTGAAAAAATATATTTTTCTTTTAACAAACTTTTTTATTTACAATGGAAATAAATGTGTTTACTTAATCCTTAGTAAACAAAGCCAACATAAATGCCACTATTGTAAACATAGTGAAGCATTATTTTAAAAGGAATTTCAGATCTTATTTCTAAATCTTTGAAATACATAATTTTGCT